TTTTCAGAAAAAGACTTAATGTGCAAAAAGGGAGATGGAAACACGTTTGCCGAATAAGTTCTGACATAGTTCCTGCTGTCCAGTAGTTGTAGCTGCTGCAGCTGGACTCACCTCCAGCTGTCGGTGTCTTCCTGAATATTCCCACAACGTGAAGAGAATTGTGTTTCTTTCTCTCCAGACAGCAGTAACARCACCAATATATGATACGACAGAATAATCACAACTTTCCTGATAGCAGCAACACGTTCTTGATAGCTTTTCTCCATTGTCCTGAGATGTGTCCCTGCGATTTTGTGACTTCACTTCCTGTTTACTACAGTCATGTGTAATTACAACTACTTTTCAAAAGACATAAATGCATTATTTTAAATACTTTGTAATGTAGTTGCTTTCTCTTGGTAGTATGGCTTCACTTAAAATTATATATTTGTGAAATTCATTATGGGGTGGGGGTGGGGGTCAGAACCTCACCGACCSKCCGGGATTTACGCCCTTGTTTACACCGTTCATATATACATAAGTGTGTTTATTTTGTTCTCCAGACTGTTTACAGTTATTTTATTCTAGTGTGCTTTACTTTTTTCTTATACATGTTGTTTTTACTTGAATGGTTGCAGCTGTAATAACTGTAATTTCCCTCGGGGATCAGTAAAGTCTTCAGATTGAGATTAATCCCAARCCCCAGCATTGATTGTCAACACAGATGGGCTCTGTCAATGTTTGAGAATCACTGTCCTTCAACATTTAAATCAGCTTTGCTGACAAAATGTTTACACATTCCTTTTAATCTTTTGAAAAAAAAAACACATACATAAAATGATTTTTAAAAGTTTTATTTGGCAGGTTTTACACATTGAACGTATTTCTTTCTTTTTGTTTTTCAGACAAAACTCGTAAATAACAGGTGCCTTCCTGCCTGCCTGTGTGTAAAACCTTCGGACAAGAATTAATTTCACTCAGAGGGAGTTTTATGTTTGAGCGAGCTTGTAAATAATCTTCAACTGACGTACGCACTAAAGTTAGATGTTTTGTGTGCGTATGTGTCAGTTCAGCCGCATCTCGTCTTCTCTCCCTTCCTGATGTGTTTTTTGTCTTTATACGTATCTGAGTAAAAGAAACAACAATTTATATCTGAAGTATTTTTTTTTATTAAAGCCAAATAACAGAAATATTTAACTTGAGATGAAAACTGTTTTAAACTGCAAGATGTACTTTGTCGGCTTGAAGAGAAGCCGAAGCAAAAGAGTCGTGAATGAGCCCAACTCTTCCACAGGAGCAGACCTCTGATCTGTTTCAGCAACCCTCAACTGGTACGCTCACAGGAAAAAGCCTCGTCTGTGCAGCCGTACACAACATCTTGTCCTGTGTGACGACAACAAGTGGTTTCAGGTTTGGTTGAACATTTTAAATAGAGAATCACATAAAACATTAACAATGTGGTCAGGTCTAAGATATTCCAAATTCCAAAACATACTATGAAGCAGTTAAATTTTGTCAAAATCCATTGTGCACATAAAACAAAAATCTGTCCAAAAATATATATATTTAAAATCTTTTTGTAATACCTGAAGTGCTGATAACTGAAGATGGCCCTGTTGCTCAGGAGATGCTGATGCTGCATCTGATGAGAACAGAGGAAAACAGGAGGAGGCTAACTGAAAGCTGTGTCTCTTTATTGCAGTTTTATGAACTTGTTTTTTAGAAAAATGTGCAGTGAATGACAGAGTACCTGCTGTGCAAAATCAAAGCTGTGCATCCTGATTTTCTTAGTTGTAGCAGAGGAGGAATGGACACAGATCTTCTTGCAGGCAGKTCACATCTCATTGTGCACCTCTGTTTGCACAAGCTGAGGATGATCCTGTTGCTTTTAGATAACTTCAGTCATCATCTCCTCTGGAAGGGTGCACTTCTCAGGTGTTTTTCTGTTTGCATGGCCAGCAAACATCTGTGAGGCCTACAGTTTCTGATGTTTTTACATTTATTACAATTTATTACATTTCAGTTGCCAACAGTTTAACATTACTGGTCCTTAGAAGCATTTCATTGTTGAATAAAAATAAATCTACACACATACCAAGCTCCTTCGCTGACTTAATGTAGACATGCTGCCATGGACACAAGTTGGCAGTAATTTCACATGCCAATCCCRGTGCCCAGGATGTCGACCCGGCAGCATGACGGCATGGTCTTCACCAAAGTTTGATTGCAGCTGATGAACCGAGGTGTCTGTTTACATGACTAAAGAATTTCTGCAGTCAGAAGCTCGTCTACATGCTCGTCGGTCTCATCGGGGTCTTGACCTGACTGCTTATATACAGGGTGCCGTTTGTAACGTTACACAGTCAAAAATTACCACCAATATTCTTGTTTTATTTAGTCTTTTCTAAGAAAAAATAAAAATTTATTTTTCAGTCAGGTTTTCACCATATGATTCATACATTTATAAATGTCAGTTTATAAACTAAATATTTAACTTACAAATTAAATATCTAGTTAACAAGCTAAATATTTAACTTGTGACTTAAATATTTAGTTTTGAGCTAAATGTTTAGCTTGCAACTTAAATATTTAGCTAGCAACTTAAATATTTAGGTAGCTAGCTAAATATTTAAGTTAAATATTTAGGTAGCTAGCTAAATATTGAAGTTGCAACCTAAATATTTAAGTCACAAGTTAAATATTTACCTTGTTAACTAAATATGTGAGGTAGTGTTTTAGGGCTAGTGGAAGTAATTTTTAGATTAGTGCTGCCCACCACTGCTTGTACCCTAAATTAGACAAACCCTTAAAAAGGTACAAACATGGCTTCAACAGAAAGGGTTCTAGTTGGCCAATAGAAATCATTTTCCACAGTCTGAAATGAACATGTTCTTCTAAGTCAAAGTAATAATTTTATACTCATTCTGAACTATTTTCATAAAAATGAATATCCTCTTTTCTTACCTCATTTTTCCCCTGTTCGACATCAAACAGCTGTGATTGTGTAGCTTTATTAGCGTCGTTAGCTCTGTCATCCTCACCTTCAGCTGAGCAGGCAGATGTTACCTGTTGGTTGAGGCTTCTTATAAAAGCTCTTCTTATTCATCTTACTGGTTTTGTGACATGGCCATGTTTCCTCAGATGTTTCTTCTTTGGTCGTGTGCGTTCGCTCCTTTCATTTCATCCTCTCTCATTGTGTGCGTTTTCCCTCATCCTGCAGGTCATAACGAGGGCACCATCGCCGTGGCCGAAGGCGAGCTGCTGTACGTTATAGAAGAAGACAAAGGCGACGGCTGGACGAGAGTTCGGAGGA